AAAGCAAAAATGTCGGAAATAGCATCAAATTTTAGAATGAGTTCAGATTTGTTCGAGTTGGTCACCTTTAGCTCAAATTATGACCTTCAAACGACCAATGAAACCGTCACACTCTGTCCGAATGTTGCTCTGTGGTATTTTGGCCCATTCTCGGTGAAGCGCTTGCTTCAGGTGTGTCGATCACCTGGTATTGGTATTTTTTAGTGCCAACCTTGCTTTCCAAAATACTCCAGATACAATAGTCCAACGGATTGGTATCCGGAGATTTTGGTGGCCATTGTGCGCTGGAAATGAAGCGAGGAACCTCATTTTGTAACCATTCTTGGGGGCGCGTGCTGAGTGCGATGGTGCTGAGTCCTGTTGGAATGTCCCAGGTCTGCGACCTAAATGTTTGCGTGCCCAAGGCACCCTACAGAATATTTTCGCTATAATATTCGGCATTTATTCTCATGCCACGGTCGATTAATACGAGCGGAGAGTGACCATCGGCTGTTATGGCGGCCCACACCATCACCATGGCCGGCGCCTGAGTTCTGGTGGCCAACAGAAGGTGCACATTTACAGCTGACCTATTTAGCAAGTAAACACGATCATTTTGTTAGTTTACAAATTGTTGGACAACGAATGTTTTCTCATCGGAGACAACCAAATTCGGCAGTTCACTACTTTCGGCCAAGCGAAGCAACTCTTTAGCTCTTTTGAGTCTATTTTCTTTCTGTTGCGATGTAAGTTCTTGCACTTTTTGGAATTTCAATGGCTTTACCCCCAGCTCATTTTTCAATATTTGCTGAATGGAATATTGCGATATGTTCAGCTTACGAGCCATTTTTCGGCCACTGCGACGCGGTGGTTAGACCGCATATAACTCAAGATGGATTTTGACAATTCTTAGCAATTCCAAATGCTTGTCTTTCAAAAAAGAATAAAATCTAAAATGCCGGTAAATAGGTAATATTTTTGTCAAATTTTTATTGCATCATAATCATCATTATTTAAGGGTATTATAAACAGCTCACAATTATCATCCGATCCTCACGAAATTTTGCGTGGAGGTAGGGTTAGGTTCAGAATTGAAGCCTGTTGATTTTGGAGATGTACATTTGGTGTACCGAAATTGGACCAAAAAATTAAAATTTGCCTAATTTTACAGTCGCTCTTCAGGTCACGATTAAAAGCCATTCGAATTGGAATTTTGTATGAGGTTGGAGTCCATTAGATTCTTTGTGAAATTTTTTTGAATATCTATCGGCGCGACAGAGGGCGTAAATAAACGAAAACGACCAAAATGAGTTTCGATCTCAGGGTTCTTCCAACATATTATAGCGTTGTATGGTGTCGCATGTTCGGCCCGGCACGATGCGCGGTCATATAAACAACGAAACTATTGGTTTTTTACAGGTGATGAAAATTGGCCAAGGAGTTGGATTGACCATTAGACAGATATTGTTTTATATACATATGTATACTTTCATCTATATTATGAAATAAACATACTACCATTTATCACAAATATACAATTTTTTTTGGACTGCTAAAACAGTATCTCTCTTTGAAAACCCTTAATTTCAGAATACAGAATTCATAATTACCGTAGAAGTATTTGCTTTTTAGGTTTTTATACCCTACAACACTATGTGTTGGGGGTATTATAAGTTTGATTGGGCCAAAAATTATGTAACACCTCGAAATATTAGTTTCCCACATAGGAAAGTATATATGGATCTTCCTATCTCGCCGAGCTGAAATTTAGAATGGAGGTATGGCTAGGGTCGGAATAGAACCCTATTTTTGTTGGAGATTATCACATAATATTTAGGGGTTGAAATGGACCAAAAACTGAAAAAATTCCTGATTTTGCAGTTGCCCTACAGGTCGAAATTATAGACCAATCAAAGCGGAAGTTAGCATGGGGCTAGAGCTTTATTTAGTGGGTGAAATAGACTACAACATTTGTGTTAAATAAAAGTCAAATTTGCTATTAAACCGCGAATATTTTTAATCCCGTCGATATCACAAATAGACGAACAGTTCAATTCTGACCGTTACGTAGATGCCGATAGTTAATATATAGCGAAATATGTAAAATGTGTATATACAAAGGAAGGGGATGTTAGTTAGAATGCTTATATCTCAAGAATGGCTGCACCGATTTTGACAAATTTTGTCAATTCAGAATGCCCTCTTGACATAAAAGTATAAAATCTGAAAAAATCGCAGAAAATAGGCCAATAATGATGTTAATATAGATTTTGTAGTATTTTGTGACACATTTTTATTTTTTCATATTTTTTATCGCATGCGATTTTTTTCAATTTGACTTATAATATTTTTTAATATTTTTTCAACACAGGTTGGATTTATTATATAAGGATTGCAAATATCGTCCGATCCTCACGAAAAATTTCACAAGGGTAGGGTTGGGCTCAGAAGGGCTAGGCCTATTGTTTGCAAAGATGTCCGCAATATATTAGGGGTTGAAATGGACCAACAACTAAAAATTTTCCTGATTTTGCAGCCGTTATAAAGGTCACAAATAGAAACCAGAGGACACGAAATATCATATAAAGTTAGAGTTTAGGACAGCGGGTTCAATGGACCACTAATTTTTTTTAATATTTGGGGGTTCCATTGATCCAAAAACAGAAAAAAATTCCTGATCTTACAATTGAAGACAATCGACACGCCTGAGAAGAGAGTTAAGGACAGCGAAGAATTCTAGCATTTGCCTAGACTATAGCCTTTGTTTTCTTTTAATAATAAGTGTAAATTAAATAATAAACCATTAAAAATGCATTATGTTTGGCTGGGCAGAACTTTGAATACCCTCCACCATTTGGAAGAAACTGGAAAAATTAAAAAAAAATCCGTCGAAAAATACCGCTCAAATGAAAACCGTCATATGGGGGCTATACGAAGACGTGGTCCTGCATTAGTAATTTGTGTCATAGGCTGTAGTACTTTATATAAAGTATAAATTATATCGTGGACCTATATAGACAATTCTCATCCAGGGGGTAATATACTCACACGGAAATCCTTTCGTGAATTCTCTTCTAGGGGTAAAGTACTCACAAGGAACTTCTTACGAGAATTTTCAGACCAATTTCCATTGAAAAATTTGGCTAAAATCATTGAAATAGGGAATATAGGGGGTACCGTTATATTGTGGCTATACGATATGGACCTAATAGATAATTCTCTTCCAGGTGATAAAGGGCTAAATCTGCTAAATCTGCTTATTTTACGCTGATTAAGAGTATATATACTTTGTTGGGTCTAAAATTATTATTTCGATGAGTTACAAACGAAATGACGACATACTATGTATGGTGGAGGGTATAACAAGTAAAAATGCAGTAAGACCGGCCTGGCCGAATATAGCCGTTAGATTGGTGTCTATACGGAGACGTGGACCTGTATAGTCAAATTTTGTCATATGCTATTACAATATTCAAATATGAAATTCCGAAATCCGGTGCATAATGTAGATAAAATCATCAAAATACGGAATATTGGGAGGTGCCGTTATATCGAGGCCAGACTGTAGTTTCCATTACGAGATTTAAATACGAAATTTGGACCAACTCCGGTGAATGATGTAGCTAAATTCATCAAAATGTCAAATATTGGGAGGTATCGTTATATGGTTTTTTTTCTGTTTAGACTATGGTACCCATTACAAATTCCAAATACGAAATTTGAAACAAAATGCGGTGAATGCGGTAAAATATCGAATCTCGGGTGTACCGTTGTATGTTGACTATACGATGTCCCGGACGTATATAGACAATACTCTTCTTGGGGGTAAAGTCATCAGAAGGAACTCCTTTTGTGGACTTTCAGAAAATTTCGTTGAAAAATTTGGCTACAATTATCTAAATACCGAATAAGGGGCGGGGGTGTTCCGTTATATCGGGAACCGATATAGCCAATCTTCGAAATTGACCTGCCTGCTGGTCTACCTGCATAAGACTGATCTATGTAAAATTTTAGCTCTCTACCTCCCTCCATACTGTATATTACAAGTTTCAGATTGAAACAGTAATGATTATTCCTAATTATAATATTACTAATTTCAAAAATGTTGTTTACACATTCTTATCTTTTCAGTTAAGGCAAATAAATATTTCTTCCCAACTGCAAACAAGACCAAGGGCTTAAGTGCAAATGTATAATTAATTTAAGTCGACCGTATGTTAGCATATAAAATTGTATGTATAAATTATATTAAGTTTTATCTATTATTTTTGATTTAACATATACTTTTATGAATATCGTCTGTATATGAACTTGTACGTAATTTCAAAAAAAAAAGTAAAAATACATTTTTAATGTGCAAATTATAACTGTTTAATTTAAATAAAAATAAAATAAAGCCGTAACTGAAAATAAATTATTGTTTTACAATTATAATTAGCATTAGGAGAACATTTATTACTGTGATAAATTCCGTTTTCAAGTTGGGTTTCGAATGACATTTACGTTAACTGCTGTCATTCAAATGATTTCGTCGATCCTTAATTGAGTTTTAACGTCTGAGCGTTTTTCTTTTCGTCTAAAGCAATTCAAATTATTTAGTATCACACAAATAAATATATTTTCATTTGAATATAACTGTGCATGGTTGTTATTCGATCTGTCTGTCACCTGGCGTTTGGCCAAAGTCACACCTCTGTCTGTACATAATTAATTAGTTTTATTGTCAACCGAGATAAATGAGCGTTTTAAACAAAACACAACACTTCATACAAATGTGCAAAGTAACTTATACACACATATATGCAATACAATAAAATTATTAATTTAATTTAATATAATTTTAAGTGTAATAATTAATAAATGTAATTAAGACACTCGTGATTGAGCCAACTGCAATTCACAACAGACTAATGAGAAATCTTAATTATTATCGAAATTAAATTAGATTTATGCCTCTATATAATTTAATTAAACTTGTGTAAAATATAAAATACCAACACCTAATTACGAAATAAAATAGTATTTAATAAAAAAAATCAATTCGTGGTGATTTTATTGAAGTGGCATTTGTGAACATGAAGGTATGTATACACGATAGTGTGAAGAAAAGTGCGTCAATCGAAGCAAGCTACCAAAAACGCTTATCGACTACAACTGATTGCTTTAAAGTTCTATTTAAATATGTTGTTGAACTAAAATTTAAATTAAATTTAGAAAAAAGTAGTTTTGTTGTGCTTATCACGTAATATTACATATTTTTGCATGAAACTCTATATAAGTTTCTCAATCTAATTATTCAAGGAAGTTATCGAATAATAAAATTTGGTTGATGATAATTGCTTATGAATGCATTTTGGAAATTCACTTTTTATAAGGAGTTGGTACAAATTTGGCATTCGTATGCATATAAAAATATTGATCGGTCTTTTGAAATCTATACCTATGATTTATTTTTGTTTATTTTGGCATCAGCATTTACTTACAAAGCATCGAATTCACCTCTGCCAACAAGAGCTTAAAAACTATTTGAAATATTTAAAAAAGCAGCTAAATTTGCCCGGGCCGAACGTTTAATACCCTCCCACATTTGGAGGGAACATGCAAAATTAAAAAAAAAAAATGTTTGAAATATTCCGCTATAATTTTAAAAACTCCGAATATCAGGTGGACCTTTACCGCCAATTATTTATATAAGTTTAAGATAATTCTGTTGAAAAATATAGCTGGCACTCACAAAATACCGAATCTTGGGAGATACAATTTATTTGTCCGACAACATAATTATATATTATACCCTCAGCTCTATGGCTAGAGAGGGTATTTATCATTTAATACAGCCAAAACGTGCCTCATCGAAATACCGGTTTTAGACCCTAGGTCCAAAGAACCAAATCCGTTTCAGGACATTTAGCGTCGATCTACTCATCTCTGTCAACAAGAGCTCAAAAATAAAATTAAATTCCGCTGAACCGAACGTTTAATACCCTCCATCATATGAAGGGAACTTACAAAATGTAAAAAAATACGTTGAAATATTCCGCTTTAACTTTAAAAGCTCCGAATATCAAGTGGACCTTTGCCGCCAATTATATACCAGTGAAGGTGGCGCCATTTACGAACTCCAAACACTACGTTTAAGATAGTTCTGTTGAAAAATATATCAAATTACCGAATCTTTGGAGGTAAAATTTATTTAAATCGATTTATTTGCCCGACAATATCATTATACCCACAGCCATATGGCTAGAGAGGGTATGTCATTTGATACGGCCAAAACGTGCCTCATCGAGGTATCTTTGGACCAAACTCGTTTCAGGACTATGTAATGTGCGAAAATGGACTGTATCGCTCGACTCCATTAAGTAACTCCTCCACAAAGGGTCAACATTTTGAATTATAACAACTCTTAAAAAATGTGATGTAAGACATCACAATATTTTTATTAACCCAAGGAATGGTTTTAATATCGGTTCACTCTTTCTGGTACCTCCCCCACACAGCACCAAAATTTTGATTATTCATGAAGCTCATAAAACGCCAAAATAATATACGATTCCATTCAGACTTGGCACATCTCAATATTTCTATCGACTCAATAGCTGTTATAAAGATGGTGGAGATCAGACCATTCCTTCTGGTACCTCCACCAAAAGGGTTCAAAGTTTTGAATAACCAAAACGATCATAAAATCCGAAATAAGCATCCGCTTCTCTTCATATTTCACATATCACATTATTTTTACCTACACAAGATCTGCTTTGAATATGGGATATATTGGACCTTTCGTTCTGTACCTGCCCCACAAAGGGTCAACATTTTGAATATTAATGAAGCTTATAAAACGTGAAATTACATCCTATTCCATTCAAACTTGATACCTCTCAATATTTCCGTAAATATAAGATCTGTTATAAATATGGTAGAGATCGGACACATTTATTCTGGTAACTACCCCCCATATGGGGTCCAAGATTTTTAAAAACAAAACGCTCAAAAGCAATGCGAAATAAGCATCCAACTCACATAAAAGTTTGCACATACAAACATTTTTGCTAACACAGGAGTTGTTGTGAAGATGATATATATCTGCGAAGCCTTTGGTGGTACTTCACCCACAAAAGGTCACCATTTTCAATACATGTATCTGTATAACTTGCGAAATTGTCCCAACATTTTTTAAAATTATCTATACCTAAATATTTTCCTCAACCAGAAACCTAAAATGAATATGGAATTTATGATTTCCAAAGAAATTGGATATAAATTTAAGATTTTCTTGTAATTTTTTTTTTTTTTTTGAAGTATGAAAATGGAATACTTCGGTGGTCTTTATCTGGCACCTCACGCACATTTTAACATTTTCTAAAAACTATCACACATCTTTAGTTTTTAACTTGTTTTTTATCTATCGGAAATATGTAATAAACGGCTTATGTGTTACATAATTTTGATTGCGCCAAAAAGTTTGTATCACCTCGATATATTGGCCATTGGCTCACCATGTAGAATATCGACCGCGAAACTCTACCGATCTAGCTGCGTGGGTCGGTATATTTTTATAGAACAAAAATAAAACCTTTAAATTTAAGCTGACTTAACTTTTCCAGATTTAGAAGATTTACACAAGGAAACTATCATCATCATGATCAGCGGTTTTTAAAAAAATACCACCTGAACCTTTTTCAACCAACTTGGGATGTATTATGTGAAATATTACAATATATTAAAGGTTCACGACTGTTAATACTTTTTCTATGTTTTATACAGTTATATGACGTTTTCGATGTTTACAACTTTTCGATAATCGAAAACGTATAAATATGTCAAGCGATCGCTGGTTGCGTCCGAATGGAAGCCTACAGTTTTTGGAGATATTAGCGAAAATGATAAGTAATGAATTTGATCAAAAACAGAATTTTTCTCTTATGTCCGGCCGTCTGTTCAATTGCGAGGAATTTTTGCACAGATCATTTGTTTGGCCCAAGGACGGACGCGTTTGAAATTGGTGACAATCGGTACAGATTTAAATATACACGCCCTGTAATGTACATATTTGCCCGATTTCAGGTTTAATGTGCTCCAAATGCATAATATATGCCAAAATTGGATAAATTTTAGGACATACGATCAAATTCAGCCTATAACTATACAAACCGGTAGGCTTCTGCCCAGCCCTCAACTCTTATCCCATACAAAATGCGGAGTCCATTTCATTTCAACCACTAAATATTTTGTGGTCATCTCCATATAGACTTCTATTCTGACCTTAGCCACACTTGCATGTTATCCGCAACCTGAAGAGTAATTACAATTTAACATGGCTGGTATTAAATATTTGGTGTACAATAACCGTGAAATCGGATGAAGATCTCAAAATATTTTGACGAAGGTATTTCTGAGGAATATTGGTTCTACAAAAATGATGATTAACCAATTTTGCTTCTAGTCTGCGTTCGGTAGTATGGGCTATAATATCAAATTGAGTGGAATGAATTTTGGCCAATATTTTTTGGTGCACAATAAACTTAAAATCTAATAAAGCTATATATGGGAGCTATATTTAAATCTGAAACTATCTTGAACCTATCTATCTGGTATATGCTATCAAATACGGGCGGACATGTATAAATCAACTCAGAATGTTTCCGAGATATTTTCTTTTTGCACTATTACACAAGAATATTGGGTTGTGAAGTATTTGCAGATAACTGCACATTGAAGTTTCACTTTAAGGGAGTTGTTTTTAGTCCAAATTTTAACGTTTTGTGAAGGCCTTGAAATTAATTTATATATGGTTGAAAAGTTGTAACCTGAAAGTGATTTCTGTGATAACTGACATGTGGTTCTTCGATTCATAGGTCAAATGTGCAAATGTTGACCTTTGAATCGTCTGAATGAATGAATTATTTAAAGTTTAAAGGTAAGGGTTCCCTACCTTACTCCTTGGCAACCAATGCACAGTAGTCGAGGTCGTATGGGAACAGCGGCCAAAAATACTTTCAGTGCAGATATCAATATGAATCTTTGGTTATGGTACCGTGATGGGATACAAATAAAAAATGTGACAAAATTGATATGGTCGATGCATGTTTTGGCATGGTCCCCTTACAACGTACCTCCCGAATAAGGGTTATTTGGCCAATTCTTGTCACATTTCTGCATCATATTATAATGTTATTTGACATTTTACGTTCTAAGGAGTTAAAAAATAATCTTACTGAAAATTATTTGGAACAGCCCGCCTTCAGGTAGATTCCCCCTGTAAAGGTACCTCCAAAAATAGAAGCATTTTTTATACAAATCGAGTCCAAATTTGATTATTTTTTGTAAACAAAATAAAATAACAATTTAATGTAAAATTAAATCAAAGTTAAAGTTTGCACAAATAATTTGTTTGACTTAAGGCCCTATTGAAGTTGGAGATAATCGGTCAAAATTTAGCCCGAATAGTATAGAATATACGTACGACCAGATTGGACCTGAAAATAAGTATGTCAAATTTGATCGAATTCGGTTCAGAAATAGATATAGCTCCCATATATATTGTTCATCCGATTTGTTATTTTTGTCCTCCGCAGCCGTAATATGCACTCTGTAACAACGATATTTGTGGAAATATATCACATAATTTATAACTCAGAAATATCCTTTCTAAATTTTATGGAGATCTGTTAATATTTGGATATGTCTCAAATATATATCTTCGTCCGATTTGCCTTTTATTGTGCACCAAACGTGTAATATTAGCCCAAATCAAATTTAGATATAGCTCTCATATATATCTATCCAATTTTAAGTTAATTGTGCACCAAATGAATAATACAAGACCGTGCTTAAAAGGCGCAAATGCCTCGACAAATTTAGTAGAAATCAATTCAGAGGAGGATATCCCTCCCATATATTAGTTATTTTGTACTTTTAATTATTACTGTAATCATAGATGGTATGATTTAATTCTCAAATTCCTCATTAAAACCTTTATTTGTTATGCGACGGTCTACTAAGTATGCAAAGTGGTGTA